TTTTCACCATGGACTTTTTATATTTTGGACTTTTCCACCGTTGACTTTTTACACCTCGGACTTTTTAACCACGGACTTTTTATACCTCAGACTTCTTAACCACGGACTTTTTTTCCTAGGACTTTTTTACCTAGGACTTTTTGGTAGTATACCGTCTGCAATCCACCGTATAGCCCGTAGGTAGATTACCTACCTGATATACTGTTGCATACTGTCCACAATCCAATTCGTATTATCGTATTTTGAAAAATCGGAAAAAAAAATGCGTACCTAATAGGCATTTAAGAATTTTAAATTTAATATACATAGTTATTTGAAAAAGTGGCCTAACGGGAAAACTCCCGCGAATTCCCGGTGGTCCAATCCGTCCCTGGTTATATCCCTCGAATATTTTTGGGCCTTTTTTCGAGTAGGCATCGAGTACCTATGAGTTTCGTATTATGGTTGGTACCATAAATGCGCCGGTTATGCTAAAGTAATTTTACTCTTATTGTGGACTGTATATTATAATAATAAATAACAATTGAGTCACGATTTAACTTGATTTTTCAAGATATTATGTTTACAATATTTTGCGAGGTCTTTCGCAGTGTAGGAACACCAATAATAACGAAGACCTCGAGACTACGACGACGACTAAAAAGTAAAAACTATTACTACAAATCATGACATTTTCACTGGTTGTTTATATTAGCATATTTTGCTATACACGATAACATTTTCAAAATATTTTAACTTGGTTTTTTAGGTCCACTTTTTTAGGTATTTTCTCTATATAGATGACAATGAAATTAGTTTCGTTGGGTCAAAAAGCTTTAAAATGCAATACAAGATTCCTCATAAGTTTGTCTACCTTAATCAAAAAAAGAAATGTCTACAAGCAAATCAAATAAAATTTTTTGAGCGTTTGAAGTTCAATTTTTGTGCAAGATTGAATATTCACTAGATTTCTCATGTAGCGATTTTGTTATTTTGATGTAATTTAAAATCGAATAACTTAATGAATTATTGTCATTCAGGATTTTACATAATTTATTATTATATAAGAGAACAGGCCTTTTTTATGTTTCCAAATACCTTCCCGAGTGTCACCACGTCACCCGATTTTCTTATTTTATCGGTTTGGTAGGTACCGAAAATGGTTGAAAAATACTGAGTTCATTTTTAATTCAAATATTTTGTAGTTTTGTACATTGCCAGTATTTACAGCCTTTCCAGTTTGTTTTGTACATATTATTATTTATTAATTGAAGACTCAAACATTTCATATCGTCATATATTATGGTATATTTATTTTAAAAAAGAGTAATTTGGTGGTGTGGGAGGCTTTGCCCCCCGCGGCTCTATTTTCTGAAATTAACTGGACCCTCTCCATGACAAATTCCTAAATACGCCACTGGGGAGATTTAAATTAGCTTTAAAAATATTAAAATATGTAAACAATTATGAAGGCGTATACTGTACAATGACTACGGAGGGGCGGCATTGCATATTATATTATAATATTGTCGTGAATCCACTTTCAATGGCGCGTGTAATACGCGGATTTTTCTCCCCGGCCACTCGCCGATAAGTGATAACATTATGATTGAAATTACTGTCGGGCGGCAGTTTCACTAAATCCGTCGACCTCGACCATCGACCGAATTACTAAAGTATATTGTGTGGCAAGGGCGGGAAATGGCCTTCCCGCGCGAGCCACACATACTATTTTTTGTCACGCCCCTGCGTTCATGGAAAAGGTTATGCAGGGATCTATGCGTCATGCAAGGAGGTTATACTATACATTTAAGATGTAACCAAAAGTTTATGTTTTGTAAGAACCGTGGTAGGTATACATTTTAGTTTCTGGTTGTGCAAGGGATACGCGCCCGGCGGCCGGCACTTTTGGGAATTTTTTCTTTTCCGCCCGGCACTTTTGGGGATTTCCTCTTTTCCGCCCGGCACTTTTGGGGATTTCCTCTTTTCCGCCCGGCACTTTTGGGGATTTCCTCTTTTCCGCCCGGCACTTTTGGGGATTTCCACTTTACCGCCCGCTGGACGGAAAAAGGACGCTTTCGAACGCTTCAACAGTGGTCGAAAACCAAACTTTCGGTGCAGGCGTGACAAAAAAATAATATTGACATCGACATACCGACGATATAATATACGATAACACGATGTTACAATATAATATATTTTCAATTACTTATATACATTTATATTTTTAGATAATTATAATTTATCTAGCGGTATCGGGCTCTCCTGTGACGAGCCGCCCCGGGTATTATTGGTCACAAAACGGCACAACGTCAACCAAGTGCAGTGTTTATTTACATATATACGAATTATTGTTCATGCCTGTTGTACATGTTTCGTACGGCGTGGCGGGTGATGGGGTAGTGGTAGCGGTAAGTGATAACATTGTTTCCGTGGTGCTACCATGTACTATTTGAAACGCATAAAATCTAAATATAGAACAAGACGTTTATAAGTTATAAGTTATAACGAACATTGTATTATTCTGTGTTACGAATTACGATGCTTTATATAAGTATATAACGATACGTCGATGTCCCGTGTACAACGATTCCCAGCAATGTACTTGATTGGTTTTAAATCTCACGTGTAGTATGTTTAGTCATTCGGATATAACGATCTTATTTTCTTGGTTCCCTAGGTCGTTATAAGCGAATATTTTTATGAAATAACATGCGCAATCAACTAGAAAATCGACTATATGTCAAATATCTTAAAAAACTTGTGGCTTACTTACTAAGAGTCCTACTGATTACCAGTGTCGGCCTGGCACACCAAAGGCCCATGGATCAGTTTTTTAAGCGGCCCCATAGTGAAATACAAAATTTACCTGACATTTAGGTGAGAAAATGCTCACCAAATTTCTTCCTTTAAAAATACATTTATTGAAATTCTGATTTTTAGAACTTTTAAGTATACCTAAACACCATATACTCAAATTCCTGATATTCTTTGTATTACTATTAAAGAGTATCCTGTGGCTATACAAACTTCTATTTTTCAAATGAGAATTTCCTTTTTCACTGCAAATTATTTAGCATAATATGATGTAGTTATTGTAAATGTATATGTATCTAAATCAAAATTCTAATAAGTAGTTGCTGAATTAATAAAATGTGTAGGGTAATAATCCTTGGAATATGGTTTTTTACAATAAAAAACTATAAGTACCTACCTAATAATAGATGTAGTACCTACCTATTCACTATTATAGTATTATCAGTATACCTACCTACTTAATAATTTTTACAAATTATTTATCTTGATAGATCAATCATCAATGGTATTATGGTAATTAGTACTAACAACTAACTACTAACATTTTCAAATCATCTAAGAACCCAAATCTACTTAGCTAATTTCCATATTATCTAGACACGCGGCAGCGTGTCAAGCCAAGTTCTAGTTAACAGAACTGGCGAGCAGCACCGTGTGTAATATTACACGAACCATTTGGAGCCACTTTTGACCCCCTCATAACTCAAAAACTATTCCACATAAACATGTCAAATTTGGCTCATATATTGAGACTAACGAGATACATATATGTGCTCTAAATTTCATAAACACACTTCAAACCGTTATTTAGATATTAACGTCCGAAAATCGTCATTTTTATCACTGACTGACCTATAGATTATAGATCAAAATTCTAACCCAGTTCCAGATGACCTAGAAAGTTCAAGTTTGGCATACAGATAGGTAGTTAGGTAAATACAAAGGAAAAAATCAGAAACTTGAAAATTTTTAAATTTTAAATTTTTTAATCAATTAATTTTATTATAATTTTGCAATTATTTTATCTATTATGTTTAATTTTTCAATTAATTAATGAATTGCCTCTAATTTAATGTAATGTAATGTAATGTTGACTTAAATAACCTTTCCCGTATCGCCACTCCAAAAATACGACTAGCCGAATATGTGTCGATATTGTCGACCCGCGCGCAGCAACATACTTTTTTTTCTATCTATGTATGTAATTAATATTATTTTTTTAAATATTACAATTAAAATAATTAAAAAAATATTCTTACAAATTATGAATTATCCACCCAACAGTAGAAACTACAGTCAATAAAATTATGATAATTAAAAATATACTCAAAAAGAGTTAAAATAATTGTATATTAATTTTACATTTCGGTATACGTTTCGCGTCATACCGGCATTAGTCACCTGGCGCTTTCGTTTACTAAGTACGGTTACTTAGAAAGCCCGGTGTGGTTCTTGGAATTTATCTCGTCGGGTAGTAAATTTTCCTGGCTTTCCGAATATCTATGTTAAGTCCTTCGACTCCTTCCGGAACACTGCCGGAAAAATCAAAAACCACGCGCGCGTATACGTTTCGCGTCATACCGCCATTAGTCCCCTGGCGCTTTCGTGCACTCATTTTATAATACTATAAGGGCCGGGCCACACATAGCGGTTGAACCGCCCAACAAATTCAGATTGTTTGATTTTAAATGCAACCGCCTGATATGCGTTCACACTTACGCGGTTCAGCCGCGGTCGAAAAATCGACAGCAACATGTCGCGGTTCAACCGCTGCGGTTCAACCGCTGTGTGTGGCCCGGCCCTAAAGGGTAGGTGACCTTATAATATTTCGTGACAAATCCTATACTGCTATCTTGCGGTTAGAAATAGAAGTAGAACATACAAATGGCAATATAAACGTTGTGCGCCTAGAAAATACCGTAATGCAACCGTGCATACAAGTTTTCTTATCACCAAAAATTGGTCACCTAGCTTTGGTCACCCAACTTCACACTCGTAATATACCTACCTATATTATTCTAAATTAGTAAAATCAGTATTTACTTATAAGTTATTACTTATTAGCTTTAGCATGATAAATTCAATTAAATTGCTCGAACAGAAATAATATACGGCCGTGCAACTAGACTACAAGAGTAACGTGACTAGTGACTACCACAGTCTTCTTAGAACGCGAATTTTGTCTCAAATTTAAGGCCGACAGTATGGAGGAGTTCAAGACAAGAGTGAAAAACGAAAGCGATATGGATGCATGGGAATCATCTGAAGCATACGACGTAAGTTTAAAATAATATTATGAGTTTACTCGTTGACATTAAACTTAACACAAATCTTCAAAGATTTAGGTCGTTTGTCTGTGTGTATGATATTTTAACTCTTTCTTCATGATCCTTTATAACGTCTGTCTAGTGTCAACGACAATCTCTTTAAATAGGTACGATGCACGATCATCAAATGTGCACCCTGATTTATAATATGATATAAATGTATTTGTTTATTTATTTTATTTGAATTTCGTACAATGAAAACTGGGCCCCACTTAGGAAACTCGTGAAGTGTCCCAAGAAATATAGTAAATTGTATATTATTGTTTTTAGTTAATTTACATAAATTACTTTCAATTTCTATTGGAAATTAATAATGTTCAAGTGATATAGCCATATAGGTAATATTTCATTGAGAAATTACTGAAACATATTATAGATTACTGGTCTTATAAGCTCTATTATACCCTGTTCCAAATAAGAAGACACCAGATTTACGTATTTAAGGTTTTGCCCGTGGCTTCTTATTTGGAACAGAGTATATGTATCTTCTCAATGTTGAACATTTTTACAATGTAATGTTGAGTTTGTTTTTCTTAAATCTGATGACAACGTTCATTTAGTTATTCACGAACTAGTTTCAAGCAGAGAGGTACAACTATAATAACAATATGTTTATTGTCTTTTATAATTTATAGGATTATATTGGATTCATAACAGCCATGAACAAATCTGTGTATGCCATACCATCAAACAAAACTTTGACGCTGTCAAATGAGATTTCACAATTATTAAATGTATTAAACACAATTGATGATTGGATTACAGAAGTGGAACCATTAAAAGAGAGCTGTAGGTTTGGAAATAAAGCTTTTTCTACATTTTACAATTTATTAAAAACGGTTAGATAATAATAATTGATTAAAAATTATATTTAATGGTGAAGATTAATTTTAAAATTTATTTTTAGAGATTGCCCGAAATATTGTCAAAAGAATTGTCGTCAGTCGACCAACAAAACATTATTGAGCTAACTGCTTATATTGTTGACAGCTTTGGTAATCCAACTCGTATTGATTATGGCACTGGACACGAAATGTCATTTTGTATGTTCTTGTGTGGCTTATACAAAGTAGACGTATTGAAACAAAGTGACAGTAAAGCTACAGTCAACGTACTATTTTCAAGGTTAAATAGTTATATTCATATATTATGTTGTCGTTGACAGAGTTAATTGTAGATTTGTTTACAACTATTCTGTTTTCAGATATTTAGAAATAGTTCGTAGACTTCAACTTAGGTATCAAATGGAACCAGCTGGAAGCCATGGAGCTTGGAGTTTAGATGACTACCAGTTTGTACCTTTTGTTTGGGGTAGCGCACAACTAATCGGTAATACTAAATTATTGTAATACTATTTAGGATTTTTAAAACCAAATTGAATATTATTTTTAGAAAATCCAGATTTTAATCCAAATTTGTTTGTTGACGAAAAATGTGTACAACAGTTCAAATCGAAGTATATGTTCCTGGGATGTATTGATTTCATTATGCAAGTAAAAAAAGGATTGTTTCATGAACATTCTAACCAACTTTGGAATATTAGTGGTGTTCAAAGTTGGAATAAAATCAATGAAGGTCTAATTAAAATGTATAAAAAAGAGGTAATATTACAAATTTGTATAATTTAGTTTTCTGTTAAATTTTTATCTGAGTTTTCATTCATACATTATTACTATTTCAGGTACTGGGAAAATTCCCAATCATTCAACATGTACCTTTTGGAAATTTATTTAATTTTAAACAATGTATAAAAAAAAAACCCTTTGCTACACCATCGGCGATTAAAACTCCTGCACTGTCATTATTGGAAAAACTAAAGAAAACTGACCAATCAGTGCCAAACATAGTAAATAAGTAAACAATTGTCACATTTGTAAACTTATACAAATGTGTTTATACTTAATGTGAATTAATTATCAGCTATATCTTATAAGTTTTCTACATTATATTAAAATCATTTAATTTTACCAGTGCAATAAGTCCAATAAAATCATAATATGAAGACAATGTTTAACTATCACTGGTGGCCACTGCCAAATGTCATTGATCTCTATATTGAATTATTTATCATTGATGAATAATGATAACATATTATTCACTATTAATACTTATTAGTTATTATGAACTTCAAATAGTATAAAATTAATTTTCTTAATTTCAATTTGTGTTTGACCCTAGGTTGTCATTATAATTTTAATTTGTATAATAAGATTGAAATATGTAACGGTATGTTTTAGTCACACTCTGTATTTATTAATAATTAGTAATTATCACCCTTGTCAAAATCTTGCATTTACGATTTCACATACAATCAATTTGTTGTTTTGCAGATAAATTGTATAGTAATTAGTAGTATTATTACATTTAGAACACACAGACTATCTAAGAACATAGTTTGTCCGCAAGATACATAAAATACGGATTTTCTCTTTCTAGCTTTGAATCTATCCCTCACAATATACGAGTAGATTAATATTACAGTTAGATTAATATTTTTCATGCCATTATATTAATTCACTTAACATTTCTACTAAAAAGAAATATCCAAGAATTATAGTTTGTATAATGTTAATTATCTTTATTCAGACTGTAATCCAATATAGATTATTGCGTAGCTTATTAAGCTTACGTATTAAGAAATAATATTTTAATGAATCCCCGGTCAAATATCCACACTCACCAACTATTTATTTTTTATATATAAAATAATTTGATATGCCTAACTTTCACAATCTAATAAAAATTAAATCAATAGCCTTGCTAAACAGTAAAATATTATCAACATTTCATGTTTTGAAAATTAAATATTTAAACTTTTAAGTATATAATATTATAAAAATAAAACAAAACAATAAGCATAGTGTAGAAAATGCAAATTAATTATATTCAATCTAATACTATTGACTAAAATTTACAAAAAAAGGATATTAAATACAGAAACACATTTAAGATAATCATATACAAGTAAACAAACACTTGCAAATTTATATCTCATAAATTAGATAAAATTAATAATATGTTGTTGAATAAAAATGTTAATGATTTGCAAAAATGTCAAAAAAAAAAAAAAAAATTCTTATATTTAAAAATGTATGATTTAAATAATTTCAAAATTAAATTAACAAAAAAAAACATCTATCATTATACAATTAAGAGTAATTACGGAATCAGTTAAAATTATATGTACATTTATAATCTGAGACTTAAATATTATTGTTTTACACGTAGTTTTGATATTTGGTGTAGCGCACGAGCTGGAGAAAGAACTGAATTCAAGGAATTATCCTGTTGATAAATAAAGTTATTGTAATCAAACTTTCTTAAAATTTAAAAATATTATGTTCTTACAGAAGGTATGTTACTACTGTCAATTAACGGAGGTTTGTTATCAAACAACTTGCGTTTCCGTGTACTAATTGGAATGTTAGCTATGGCTTCATCTATCTTTCTGTCACAGCTATCCGGAGTTACTGTTAAAAATATGAATAATTAATAAGTTTAAAAATAAGTGTTAATATGTCACAAATAAAAAATGGGAACATTTTTTGTTTTATGCTTAAATTTTGTTTCCTGTCTAAAATGCATTAAGTTATGCCAAACACCATGGACACATGTTCTTTCCTTACAAAAAATTTGCATCAAGCAGAATAAATAATGTATTGACACCATTGACTTATTATAGTATTATAACATTAAGATGTAGGTAAATAGATATTTTAAGGTTTCAGAATTTTTTTTATTGTATTAATTACTCTACATTCTCTACGTTTCCTATACTTATTAATAGACCACATATAGATTATCTTTAATATTATCTATAATTACCAATTTTCATATTTTTTGTTTTCCTGAAAAAAAAAAAAAAAAAAAAAACAATTTTAGTTTTATAATTAAACAATAAAAACTATTACCATTAAACTTATAGAGCATATTACCACAAAACATTATAAAGGCTAATCAAAACTTACTTTTCTTAAATAACTAATGAAGAATAGAATTTAGTATAAACTATTAGACCACACAATTTATGTGTAAAAATGTGGTGAGGTCATAATATGGATGTTGTCCTCCAATTATGGGTGGACAATTTTTTATATAGATTAAAACTAATGAATAACATTTCATACCGATGTCAAATAATCAACAAACATTGGAAAACTAAAATATGCTATAAAAAAAAGCGATCACGTCCAATATAATAGGCAAAATATTCCTTAATAATGCTAAAACATTTTTTTTATTAAATTTGCCAAATTTATCAAATATGTTTTTCTTATGACATCCCTTCCCGGACAACTCCATATAGGTTTATATTGTTATTAGTGATACGATAAGTTTGCCAAAAAACAAATAACAAATACTATACGGCAATTGGTATGATAATTTATTTATTACTAGCTGGTAACAACTTGCAAAATTACCTACAGTACTACAAATAATATTTTTTGAAAATAACATGTTTCCTTCATAACAGTGCAATATTTAAGATTTAATTTACAAGTTACTAATCAAATGTAGAATTATAATTAAAAAACGAAAGAATGGTTTTAGTTTAGATGAATCAAACAAAATCTAACAATAATTTATACTTTTAAATAGTAGTGTAATTTCAGTTTTTTTTTTTTTTTTTAATACACATATTTTATGTAGGCTGTAGACCCTGCCAAGAATTGGTTCATTTTCTAGGCCTACCAATCTAAAAAGTAGGCCAAATAATAATAATATTGGATCTTGAATTCAAAATTTATACATTGTGATGTCTAAATGACACTACTTTTTTAAAAACAGGCTATAAATCATAAAATAGATAATATAAAGGAGAAATAAATAAATTCTTATTAATGTTACTATTAATGTAGCTTACTTGATATTTGTTAATGGAGTTTTATTTTTACATCTTCTTTCAGGTTTACGATCTGATTTTAAAAGCTAAACAAAAATTAATAAAGTATATTGTATTTTATATGACTTATATATATAGAAATTATCTTACCATATTTTCTTTCTCTTCTGATATATTCACCATTTGTAAAGGCTATTATAAATATATAAATAAAAATAATATATAATTAATAAACAATAAATTCAAGTTGACGTCAGTTCACAATATTGACTTACTAATTGAATGTTGCTTAAATTTGTTACTACAGCTATACTTTTAGTTGGTGGTTTCACACTTGATGCTTTTAAATTATCAAATGCCGTCTGAAGTTCATTAAATTGATTTTCAGTATCCCTATAATTGAATTAAATGTTATTAGAACAAAAGTAAATCAGTATTTCATTGGTAAATTTTGTTATTACTTCATTACATATTCTAATTTGTGAACTTCTTCTTGGAGTTTTGCAATCTTTGATTCTTTATCTGTACAAAAAACAATTCAAATTGTATATAATTAATGTGTAATATAATATTAATCTGTTAAGGGGATTCGATACCGTGATTTTCTGTTTTTGTCTAACACACGTGCGACATAGTATTTTAGATGTGTTTTTTGCCAAACATACCAATTGATCTAATGAAGCGATAAGAATTCTGAAAACAGATTTGAATTTGTCGTCAAGTCTACTTGAAATCGACTTTCCCACATTTTTGATTTTATCCCCCAAATTTTTTTAAATGTCTAATTCAAAAAGAGGAATTAAAAATTCTGTTATTTAAATTTTTGGAGAAGTTAAATATAATTTAATATCAAACATGTGGGAAAGTCGATTTCAAGTAGACTTTACGACAAATTCAAATCTGTTTTCAGAAATCTTTGATCAATTGGAATGTTTGGCAAAAAACACGTCTAAAATACTATGTCACGCAAATGTTAGACAAAAACAGAAAATCACCGTATCGAACCCCCTTAACTTTAAAAACTGATGAGACTCGTTTGTATTACCTGTATTTGACTGTTCTGTGGCCTTTAACTAAAATTAAAAAATATAATTTATATTATTATTAATTTAATCACTAATTCCAAGTAAAATAAGATCTAAATTACCATCTGTTTCAAAGTTTGATATTGCTTTGCCATATTAGACTTCTCTTCATTATATTTTATATTTTTTTTTTTTAATTTTGATATTGTATTTTCCAAGCCAACAATTGTTTCTATTTTTTCATCCATGTATTTTAAAATTTTTTGTTCTGCCTAAAAATATTTAAAAGTTTAAATTTCTTATATGTTTGCATAAATAATTTATTTTAATTATCTTGAATACTAAGTTAACATTACTATAACTTACCTTATACATTTTTTTCATTGTAATAACAAGTACTAACATTAACAAAGTGTTTAAACAATTTGTAAAAATTATTATTTAAAAACTATTTAGTTAATACTAAGTAGGTACTAATATCCTTTTTTGTATCAAAACAAGCTATTGTGATTTTGTATATTAAAATATTCAGTATTTCAGCTACTTTATAAAATAAATATATCTTACCAATTCAGTTGTACGTTCTTCTTGGAGAAGTTCCATTTCTGTAATATAATTGTCTTTTACCTCTAATGAACCAGTTAGTCGTTCGATTTCTAAATTCTATAAAACAATAGTTACTTATAAAAATATTTATTTATATTAAGTACAACATGGAGAGTATGAACATATAGTTTGAAAATTGTATTATATTTTTTATTACTAACCCAAAATAACTATAAATTAGATTTACATTCTTTTAGATTTATTATTCTTCGGTTTAATTTTTTAAATGTTCCTTTTTCATTAAGGATTTGTACTTTGTTTTATATGACTATAATATAAACTAAGGAATTGCTTAAAATATCTATTAATTTGTATATTACAGTATGTCTGTCAGCTTAAATTTGTTACTTAAAAAAATTTTATTGGTATAACCCCAATAAAAAATTAATTGTATACATATATACTAAAATTAGAGCCGCAAAGTACCTAGCTATGTGCCAGGTCACAAATATATAATAAGATGTTAAAAATCTTTAACTCCCCAAAAATTAGTACAGTGAAACCTCATTAAACAGGACAGCTGTATAACACATAAAAGTGCAGTTCGAGCGGCAGATTAAAATAAACATGAAAATAAGTTTGAAGAATTTCCTATGAATTAATGTAATTTATGTTATCCAAATGTTAATTGAGGGGTGGCACAAAACGTACCATTGGGCTATGCCAAAATATCGATTTTTCAGGAGAGGCGATTGTGGGTACCATAACATTTCTAATAAAACAAATCATTTTGAAGTTTTTTTAAAACGATTCTAACGTGTTAAATATTCAAGTTATATCTTTAATTTTATTTCAAACTTAATTACAATTTTAGTACATTTCAGATAAACATTTTTATTCCCCTATATATAAGTAAGGTACCTATAACATGGGTAATAGTATAATTGGGCATAACATAAAAAAAGTATGCTTTGTTTAGGTTAAATAGTACTTATTTTTTTGTACATAGGCAATAGTACATTTCTTAATATAATTTTTAGGTATGGAAAAGATTCGTTTTGGATTTAAGAGGTTGTTACAGTTACATTTGTTTTCTCTGTCTTACAAGTGCGTAACATAGCAAATTTTACCCTCATTAAAACACGATTATCTCCTGTTAGTTTAAAAATTAGAGCAAATTGACCTCTTATAAAATTTAAAGGTAAGATTATTATCTAGACAATGACATAGGCTTTTTATTATAATTTAATTTTAAAGCAAGTTATGTGTATTTTAAAATTGTAAATTGTTTATAGATCTTAAAGTACTTATAATTAGCTTAAAAATTAAAATATAATAAAAAGCTTATGTCATTGTCTAGATAATAATCTTACCTTTAAATATTATAAGAGGTCAATTCGCACTAATTTTTAAACTAACGGGAGATAAACGTGTTTTGCTGAGAGTAAACTGTGCTGTTACGCACTTGTAAGACGGAGACAACAAATATCACTGTAACGTCCCCTTAACAGTAATTTTGAATCGCACATCTGACCAGGAAATTGTAAGTTTTGATCTATTCTGGAAACGCCAATTGATTTATTCATGTTTATTCCATAAGAATAAAAATATCTTAGTAGATTTTGTCAATAGCATGTTTTGGTTTTCTACCCAAATACATATTCTTAAATCTTTAATAAATACACGTTATTTGTTTATTTTGTTTATCTGGACAGCCTTGCGCTCGATTAAAGAGGTTTTCCAGTATTAAAATAGTTTTAAATTAGAACACATTAGTAATTTACAGTAATTTAACAAACCAACTATAGCTTTAATGAGGTTTAAAAAAAATTGTTTAAACCAGAGGTTAGGTTATACCATAGTTTGTTCCCAAAAACAACTATCATTCTTCAAATGTATGTATAGAAAATAATAAAATAGATATGTACCTTATCTTCTATTTCTTGATATAATACATCAAATTTATTATTCATCTCGTTTAAGTCTGCCTCCATTTGTTCATATTCAGTATTTGCCTCTTCCAACATGACTTTGTAGTTCTAAATTAAATATACAATTATTTGCAATAATTAATAAATATATTAACTACATTTCCAAAAAAATTATTACTTCAATTTCACGGTTCTTAACATCAATATCGTCTTGCCTCATATCATGGACATTTTTCAAGACCTATTAAAATCAAAACACGGGTTACAAAAATTATCATTTAAATTGAAGTTTGTACATTTTACATTAATTTCTGCAAGTAATTCTTCTTTTTGAATTTCAAGTTCTCCAATTCTGAATTCATAATTTTCCATTTCACTCTTATTTTTATTGTTTTCATAAGTATTTGTGAGGTTGGGATTAGAATGAAGCTGAAATTAATAATATGATAGTACATCGGTGAATTCAATAATAAACTTAACAACTTACTGCTAATTTTTCATCTCTCTCACGAATTTCTTCAGAATAATATGCTTTTAATCGTTTAATTTTATTCTCATACATTTCTGTTTTGTTTTTTATCATAGTTTCTTTTTGTTTACTAAAAAACAAAAAATATACTTAAACGCATTTTCTTTATAATATTTAAAAATGAAAGAGGATTTACGTGTGGAATGTATTATTGTTATTTAAAATTGTATGGAACTGTTGGAGTAATTCTTTTCGGAGTATTGCTTCTTTTTCTTTGAATCTTGCTTCAAACTCTTCATTAGAAATCTAAAATAAAAGTAATATATTTAAACATTTACAGTAAATTTTGGTAAAATTTAAAATTACCATTGATTTTTCTTCACATTTTGAGTTATTTACGCTATGCTCATCTTCAATTATTGGACCTAAAAGCCAGAAACAAGTATTAGTATTACTGTGTTTAGCAAAAAACATTTCATAATAAAAATAAAAATATACTTTGTTTGGAGGTTGCCTGTTTTATGCTTTTTCGGTTATTTGCAGCCCATACAGCAAAACTTGGCCTTGGTTTTGAAATAGGTTTTGATTTTGTTTTAGTAATAGCTCGCACTATAGCAGACATGAATAACACTTGCTTGGTTTCTTCTAAAAGATTTGGAGACATATCTACATTAACTGCCATTGATATACCAGTTCTATTATTTCCAGTTAAGGCAGTTTGAAACATCTGAGTTAATTTGGACTCTCTGTAGGGAACCAAATGATTTTCTCCTTTTTTTTGATTTTCACTAAAAAAGTATTAAATTATTTAAGTAAAATGTTAAAAATATATTTATCTTATTTATTATCTATATACCGTAACACGGAGAAACATTTGTTTAAAACTAATAATGAAGTATTAATATTTTTAGATTCTGTAAGACGATCACCAATGTTCATAGTTTTTTTAAGTCGTTCAGAACCAGCCAAATCACAAAATGAAATACTAAAAATCAAAATATAAAATTATTAGAATTTATATGCCCCGTATAAAATATAAGTAAAATTAAACCTGCTAATGACGGCTGTTTTAGGATCTTCAATGTTTTCTACTCTCATTAATTTTAATGTGAAAATGCAGTGTGAACGACTTGAGGATTTATTTAAATTGTTGCTGGCAATTCTTAAATTAGTTCTTCCAAAAGACATTACTTTATATGCTTCTTCGGCAGACTGAACAAATACATGAGTAAGATCTAAAAAAAATTTAATTTTACAAGTAAATGCTTAAAATAATAATTATTATGCATTCAAGTTATTTTGAGAGCTGATTTTAATTTAAAATGTTTACAAATGCATAATATTTATTATATATGGTGTTCAGTTGGTACATATTCTACTTTTTTAATTTGTTTTCATTAAGTACAAATTCGGATTTACAATTTAGAACCTAATCAACAATTTATTGTAATAAATTAAAAATAATATTAATAGGTTTTTTTTTTTAATTGATAGTATAAATTATGCAAAAATGAATTTTATTGTGATTGTTAACATACCATGTACCTAGGTAGTTAGTTTATATGTAGAAAACAAGTATACATTTTAAAATTATGAGTAATGAAACCATTATAATTAAAAAATAGTAAATAATAATTATGAATAATATTTTAAAATTTAATGAGTAAATTATTGATCAATGTGATCAAACTTACTTTTCACATATACATTCTTATTTTGGTCAAGTGACAATTTGAGAGGTGTTCGTTTTTGGTTAGCAGAGTAAGTTATCAATAAATCATAGATGGATTCGTTGTAAATTTCAGAATATGAAACCCAAACTGTGTAGGAGACATTGCCATGATCCAATGACGCTATTCCATCATTTTTCAAATAATCAAACATTTTCACTATACTATGATTAGTAAGCTGATCAATGCCATTTATAGTTTGACATTCATCTACTTGAGACGTACAAGACTTAAAATCATCCTTAAATATTTAAGAAATTAGAAAGCATTAATATAAATAATACATTAATACATTTTATAATAATTACTTGTGTTTTATCATTAGACCAATTGTTTAAGATATTATTTCTAATATCCTCTTCAGATTCCATTAACTTTTCATCCAAAATATGGGCTGCAATAACTTTATCAGGTTTGTACTTACATTTTGACATTAACTTTTCATTTAATGAATTGAACACAAGTAGTAAAGTTCTAGGAATCATACCAGGATCATTTATATTTCCTAATAATAATATAAAATAATAAAATATATTGGATAGTATTAAAAAGAATAATATACAAATTGGAGTTTGAATTAACTACCATGAATTGTATATGTTTTTCCTGCATTTGTCGTGCCATACGCAAATAATAATTCATTATTTCCATTTAAAAATCTTAATACTTTATCGTATACCCAGGTGTCAAAAAATTTCTTTTGATCAACATTTGGACCAAATACACTAGAAAATGTATACCTAAACACAAACATTTTTTTTTTAGAAAACAATGAAGTATTAAATCAGAAAAATCTTACTCTGTAACATCATCTCTTGTATTTCCATTGCTGCAAGCAACAATATTATCACTCAATATTGTTAAAGTATCAACCTAGAATAAAATAATTTATTTTACCATAAAATGCATTAGTTCCTACTACCTATTTATAAATAATTAGGTATTATTATTTTGATTTAACTTACCCCAGTAGGAACACTATTTATTCGTGGTTTTAAGCGTAAGCAGACATCAATTTTTGGAATTCCAGAATGGTCATTACATTTTTCCAAAGAATAATCCAGTACTTTCTTAGGTTTGCCATTGATTTTTCTTTGTCCAAAACCAGTTATACTCGGAACTCTTGGTTCGACATAAGAACCAGTTGAATGATGATCTTTTGAATCATTCATTATCTCTCTCAAAAAATACTTCAATCTAGAAACATGATAATTGAAGTGTTTTTAAAATATTTACCTATTAAAATTGTATGAGAATTTAATGAAGTATTACAAATTTTAAATTGTATACATGAATAAAATGTTAATAAGATTGATTATATTTATCATAGCTTCGTACATCAATGGTTAAGTATTCCGTAAGGGCGTTACATTAGGTACCTAAAATTAATATTATTTTCTCTTGTTCGTATTTTGTTCAAATTTATTCCATTATTATTATACAGAAATTAAGGGTGGCTAAAATCTACTTTACCAACCCCCTCACGATTTTCAAAATTTATTTTTTCAAAACTTGTTTTTTTATGATTAAAACGATGGTGTAATTTTTTTTTCCCGGAAACTATTATTTTAGAAGTTATAGCCTTCCAAAGTTTACGATTTTACGTTTATGCGCATGCGCGCAACGCTACTTGACTGCCACGCGCGCCTATAACAAATTTTTTTTTTTACGTATTTTAACAAGTTTTGGGACATAGACACATAGTCAGTCTTGGGTAAGTAATATTGTGAATCACGTCATTATTATGGTGAAATATAAACTATAGTTGAGTACCTAATTATACTAGGTATATTAGCCCAATTAAAATAAATAATAAATAAATACTGTAAAAATGTTAAATATATTTGATACTAATTTTAAATTTATAGTAATTATATGCAAATTTCTTAACCCTGTGACCAACTTGGGAAGGTGTTGCACAGCAAGTCGGGGGATATTTTCGATTTGCGGAGCGGAGCGATGGCGCCGAGGAGCGTAGCGACGAGTGCCGCTAGCACCGCATCACTGTACGATGTTTTTTCAAATTGGTGCCTCGGTGCAACAAAAATGATATTTTCTCAACCCTGTTGGGGAGGTGTTGCACAGCAAGTCGGGGGATAAATTATTATTGTACTATCGTTTTAAACAGGTTAGAATACGTAAGTACAAAAAAATAACAAAAATAGTTCTCCGCGTTTCATTATAGTAGTGTTGCGCGCATGCGCATAAACGTCAAATCGCAAACTTTGGAAGGCTATAACTTCTAAAATAATAGTTTCTGGGGAAAAAAAATTACACCATCGTTTTAAGCATAAAAAAACAAGTCTTTTGTAAAAAAAAATTTTGAAAATCGTGAGGGGGTTGGTAAAGTAGATTTGTTCCTTAAGGGTCTATAAAATCTTTTGTAAGTATCATATACTTTCATATTAGGCAATATGGTAATATTTAAAAATGTCTTCCTTGCAATAACAATATTTATTTAATTTAGATATAATATTGTGAATTCATGGTATTTCCCTACACTAATTAAAAATAAATATAACACTAATAGGTACAACAATAAATAAAAACTATCTTTATGAGCATAGTGGAATGTTACTGTAATAACTCAAAATATAGGTACAAACAACAATCTATCCAGTATCTATTATTGCTATTATATATAATTTAGTTAAACTATGATATCCAATTTTACTGATAGATTGGATAAAATAAACATAATTTTTACCATAAGAATAATATTGTGTAACTCAAAATCGACAACTGAATTCTAGAGTTTGCTACTGATACTGACAGTGCGATATGATTTAATAATTTAAGCTCAATGCAAAAATCTTTAAAATCAATACCGCTTTACGGTTTAAAATAATGCACCCGAAAATATAAGGTTTATAAAAATGATTTATATTTTATCACAATATTATGGTATCAATTTTATTGTTCTTTTTTGTACTAGTTACTAAGGTACAACAAACTCTTACATAGTTTTTTTTTTCATAATATTGTTTCAACTGAACTAGAATTAATAGGTTGATATTTGATTTCTTTATAGCAAATTTTTGTGAATAGGTCAACGTACTATAATATTATAACATAAGGTAGGCATATTATTACTAGTTACAATTTAGCAGATACTTACGGAAAAACAAATTATTAGACAGTCACACTATGATTAAAATATGTAAATACTAAATAGTTAACACGAGAACTACAACTGTATGCACCAAACATGAAACACAATTACTTTAATACACAAATACACAATACTCCAATGTAACAACTAACAATGGTAGACCGTAGACGGCAGTGTAGCTCAGTTGTAGCTGTTAGCACGAAATTCACATAAAAAATTTAACGGTCATTCAAGGAGTGCGCCAGTGGACAGTGGTGCAGTGGTGCACGGTAATAGGGAATAGGGATTACGATTTACGGTACACGAATATCCCTTAGTTTCAGATGCGGTAAACAGTGTACACGGACGTCATGGTCGATAGCCAATGAGATTATCCAAAACGATCAAGTGTGGCCACCTTCACGGTAACGTAAAATTACAGTGTGTACAACGCACAAGATTAAAAAAAAAAAGTGGATACGTGATTACGTGAAGCATAAACTACTATGGGGTCTGTCTATACGCAGTCGATTAGACCACCACCGCCGTTATCATTTTGTTGTTATCAAAAAAAAATGTTATCTTAAATATTAAATTCTACAAGCGTCTAGTGACAGGGAATCCGAATGGCTGCAAGATGGCCGACTTCGTTATCATTATCAGTTATCACAGATTTTATTATCACTTAATTCTCAAAATAATATATTTCTTTCCTTTAGCTTATTTCTACCCAGTACCCAAGTCTTTTTCTTTTAAGTTTATTATATTATAGTGACAGTAAAGTATCTAATTACTTTATTTTATTTTAAATATTGAACAGGTAAAATGAACTCAGTATATCAAATACTTCTGAAAATAATCGTGTTAGGTTATGAATTTTTACTAATTGTTAAAAAACTTGTCTGTTTAATTAAATGTATAATACTTTGAAAGTTTACACCACTACTTGAGTTTAAATGTTTTCTTGATGTACTAACCTGGAATATTGTTTTAATTTTATTTTTTTTTTATTTTTTTTTATGGTTTTCATTAATTATGTTATGGAGGCCTATGAATGTCACTCTCAGGATATATGGATTTTTCTATGTTTGCGGATGAATGAGGATTAATGGTGTGCAATTCGGATCACGCCCATGTTTTTCAGGAGTTCCTCAGGCCGGTTTCTTTTCCTTGTCACCACTCCTATTTTATTTTATTTGTATTATAAATGTATTGTAATTATTTTACTATTACTATTTTGTTTTCAATGTAAATTTTTATGTCTGTTTAAGTGTTTTCATAATTGAATTGGGGCAACCTGTATATATATATAATAATAATTAATATAAATATCTAATTATTATTCTCATTTGTATATTAAAAATTTCTTGGTTGTGTTATTTGAATATGTATTGTAGAAATGTTTATGGTATTATAAGTATTTAATTAAATAAAAAACACATACATTTAGTCTGTCAATACCTGAAAAGAAAGAATAATGAAAATATAATTACTAATAACACACTCACAAATTTGGAACATACCAATGAAACAACTATCATTGTGTCACAGTTAAATAATTCAACCAAACCATCAAACGATCTAGCTAATGAAAAAGATAAAGTAAGATTATATTTTAATAATATTTTAGATGGGATTTCTAGTTCAGAAGAACTGGGCATTTTAAAAAAATGTCTTACTTCGGTTACACCTACTTTAAATGCGTTAAGAAGTAATGCTGATAGTCAACCATTTAAAAGTTTGACACCGTCTCATTGCCAAACATCACCAAACAAATTAAAAATAACTCCTCAACGCCGTTTTCATTCCACTAAATCTAAAAGAAATGTAAAAAAAACCACATTAAACATTGAGGTACCAAACCAAGTAGAGCAAAATTTTATAGCTGCATCTCTATTATTGGATGTGGACCAAAATGAAGACCTACCCCAATATAATTAAACACCGACTGATTTTATAACAAAATTATTATTTTTATTTTATTATTACTTATTTCACAATTATTATTTTATGCATTTTATTAACTTATTAATTATAATCATATTGACTATTGTACTGGCATTTCACAACATTATTTTTTTATAATTATATCTTATTTTACAACAAATTATTATTAACTAGGTAACTATTATGAATTTAACTAATATATTATTGTTACTATAAATGTTAATCATATTGAATATTGTACTCACAAAATTATACTTTTTTATTATACAATATTATGTGGACATGTGGTCAGACAAGGAGCAGAGATACCGTATAAAGTAGGACCAACATACAACAATTATAACTTATTTGAAAACTAATTATTACTTATTATTTACTAATTATAGCTATTATGAATTATATGAATTTACATATTACCTACCATTTATATATCCATTTCAATATTTGATATTTCATTGTGCATTATAAAATTTACTATAGAATATCATTGTGTGTATAGTACTGTTCTATATTTCTATTTTCTTAACCTAAGATTTATTATCAAATAATCAATGTTAATTAATAATTAACTGGAATATCATCATTTTCAAAGACAATTCAGTTAGAAATACAGTAGAATCAGGGGTACGACACTCCGTGAATTGGTCGGATCGGGAGATTGTGGCCTTGAAAATGGTCTCTAAAGGGGCGTGGCATACGTTACAGTAAACAGTGGAAACAATTTTTCTATGCTGGAAACAACCCGACCCGCGCAGAATACCCTGCCTATTAATCGGAGACGGTTTTTCAATACGGGTATAACATCATGTTGGTAAACGGAAACAGTTTGAATGTTCGGACTTCAGATCATAGGTAAACACTTCACCCATCTGCTGATCGAGTGTCGCTTCTATATTGTTCTATGGTAGAATACAACTTGGGTAGAAATAAGGTTAAGGAAAGAAATATATTATTTTAAGAAATTAAGTGATAATAAAATCTGTGATAACTGATAATGATAACGAAGTCGGCCATCTTGCAGCCATTCGGATTCCCTGTCACTAGACGCTTGTTTAAATTCTCACTCATATCAAATATTATTATTGTATATTATTTATAAATTAAATCCAAGTCTTTTGCTGGAAGTCATGTTAC